AACTTCACTCTCCCCAAAGAAAAGCACACAGGAAACATTTTCAAAAGTGCTGAGGCACATCTCCTTTCTGCCGAGAGGAGGCTCACATTTCTGGAGCATGAGGATAGCGTGTGAGCAGAGGTGACACTGGCTGGCCTTCAACTGTGAGTGGAAATTAAGGTGGCAGGAGACTCGGGACACCAGACTCTCCTGTCTCCAAGGCAACCAGCCCTATGCATCTCTAGGAGTGCCGGTTCTCCATGTAGATATAGCAGCTGAGCGTGGATAAGGTTTAATCTAAAGTATGGTCCAGCTTCAGGATTCCCTAAAGAGAAAGGGGCCTTAAGGTGCAGAAATTAAGGTCCTTATTGTATTGCAGGGAATTAGAAACCTTCCTGTTTCTCTGGGATGTCTATGTTCTGGGTAATACATCCCAAAGTGGGGCAGCCTCCTGTCTCCCCATCACAAGGATGACAGTCCCTGATATGTATGGAGGGATTTGCAAAGTGAATTCCCAAACAACATCTAACAACATCTGATGTAATCCTCCTGACAGCCTTGACAGGTGAACAGAGAGAGCCTCCCTACTCCATTAGGGATGAGGTCATCCAACACTCCTTTGTGAGTTATTTTTTTCCCCTCCACATCTAGATAAATGGAACCTTGAGTGTCCTGGTCAAGTAAATCCTGGGGCCTTGTTCAGAGTCAGGCCCACGGGTAGCAAGGGAGGGCAGAGCCAGTGGCCCTGCTGAAGTCCCTCCCACGTGCCAGCCATGGCGCATGTCCGCATTTCCTCTTACTTTCTACTGTTTATGTTACCTTGGTTGCTGACTCCCATCACCTTGACTTGAAAGCACCACCATCACAGCTCAAAAATGACAGGAATTACCCATTCCCAGGCGCTGGGACCGTGAGACAAGTGGCACTGGATCCCCCGTGGCTGTAGCAACTATCAGAGTGTAGTTCCAGGAAAGGCAAGAGCTGGGCCTCCACCCGCTATAAACCCTTCCCTGGAGGGGCTGAGTGAGCAGCAGCAGGGCTTCCTTGTTGTTTTAAAAAGGCTACTCTTATTAATCCCTTCCTGTTTAGGCCTGATGTGCGGTGCTCCACACACATCTCTCTGAAATCTCACAAAAGTTGGAAGGAGAGGCATGACAGATGAGCAAACTGAGGTCCGCAGTGCTGGCTGTCTGCTCAAGGTCACACTGCTCTTCAAGTAAAAAAGCCTGGATGTCAAATCAAGCCCATCTACTTTATGTACCCCTCCCCCAAGATCTGGAGCTCCATAGGCATAAGAGAGCCTGTGGTAATTCTCTCAGGTGTGTGTGGGGGGCAGGTGGAGGGGACAGATGTCGAACTCTAGGTCACAGGATCTGAGGCAGGATTCCAACTGGCTCTTGAGCCTCAGTCTTTTGCTCCAAATGAATGACCACAACAGGAAAGCCAATGTCAGTGGAAAACTCCCCTCGGTAATACAGAATCCCAAAGGCAGAGGCGCAAACCCCCCAAGAGAAATCTTAGATCGCTCTACTTTTCAGTTGGAGGACAATGGGGGGCCCACAGCGCCAGGCTCGGATGGTGGTGGGGAACATTCTTTGTATTTATTTACTCCAATTGGAGGAGGAGAATGCATGGGTTCTTGGAGAGCTTTGCAAACAGATAAAGAAGTAAGCTTAGGATGCAGGAGTCTGGAGCATGAAGCCAGAATTTTGGCTCAGAACTGGAGCGGGGAGAATAGGGACAAATGGTTCGGTGGCTTTGGCCGGAAGGATCCCAGCGCCTGCTGTCTTTCCTCCTGGGCGGAGGCCAACGTGTAGGACCACTACAATGCTTAGCTTCATTGGTTGGCGCTTTTATTTGTGCGCGCATTACATGGGCCGGCGTGTGTGCGCGTGTGTGTTGGTGGTGGTGGTTGACGGTAGGCTCTGGCTTTGACGTCCATGATAATTAGGGCCTCCATGCACAAGAAGAGCCTGCACTCGAAAAGTAAACTGAGAACACTTGGAAGCTATCGGAAGATTTTCCCTGCACCAAGATACATTGTGAAATTAGCCGGCGTAAGCCCCTCAAGCACAGATCCGAAAACTGAGGGCCGCAGAGGAAGAGGCACTTGCTCATGATTACAACTCAAAATAGGGGTCAGAGCCAGAACTAGGGACCTTTAAGTGTGGAATGTTTAGAGCCTGAGTTGCAAGAGAGCTCAGGGCGCATGGTTCAGCCTAATGTGAAAGGAAACGCACTTAGATGCTTCGATGTTAGTGATTTCCCCCCACACACACACACACACACACACACACACACACACACACACACACACACACACACACACAGTTGCTAGGAGGAGTGGATGGGACATGGATGGGACACCGTAGGCCTTTCCTAGACGCCTCCTAGCGGCCAGCACCCAGAGAACAGCGCTGAGCGGCAGGAAGTGCATGAGTAACCAGTTCGCCAGGTGGTGAGTCTTCCTCGCGTTGGAAAGCAGGAGGTGTGGTTCTACTGTGTAGGAGGCCTCAGCGCCTCCTACAGTCCCCGGAAATGGAGACAAAGGTGAATTTGGAGACCTCTCAGCTCCTTTCCTGGGGCGGGGCGTGAGGGTGTAAATCCCACCGGTTCAGCAAAGTCCTGTGGAGTCAGCAAGCCATCAGTTACTGTATGGGAAGGGGCTGTGAGGGTGGGGAGATTTACAGAACTAAACTCTTTTGGCTTGATTCAGTGTTTTACACCCCAGACCCGCCTATTCTAAAAAAGAAGACTGTGGCAGAGAAGGGAGGTGATTCGCCTTGGGAGCCACCCTTCCTTACTGCCCATCACACCGCCAAAACTCAGGGCCAGCCACACAAGCTGAAGGCTGCAACCTGTGTCACCCGCCACGTATGCTTTAGAAAGACCCAACTCCACCAAGGGAAATCCAATGAGAAGCCATCACGGATAATTCCCCACAATCATCCCTGCACCCAGATGGGTACTCTCTGCTTTCTCCTGCCTACGGAGACGCAGCTTGGGACACGCCCCAGCCTCCTTCCTCAGCAGAGCTGTACGGAGATGGGACCAGGTGCTTCGGCCGCTTTCCCCGCAGTGCCGTGTCCCAAGGCGCCCCGAAGCTGGACCAGGCTCCGGCCAAAGAGCGACAGGGCCGAGGGCCCAGGAAGGGCGCCTGGGCAGGCGCTGTCCAAGCGGCTGAGAGACTGCTGCGAGCGCCTCCCCCTCCCTCGCGGCGCCAACACGCGGCTCCGCCGGGCTCGGCTCCCAGTCGCCTGCCACCAGCCCGCCCGGCACACGCCTGGGGCGGGATGGAGGCTGCGCCAAGGCCGCCGAGGTGCCTGCGGCGGCGCCGAACAACCAAGGAAGCTCCTCTAGCCCCTCGAGGACCCTCCATCACCTTCCCCCGCACCCCACTTCCGTGCCCCCCATCTTTTCCCTCAGATCCAACCACGAATGTCCCAGAGAACTCCCTTTCTGCACCCCCTCCCACACACAACGGGATCAGAAATTATCCTTTGTAGGGGCCATGATACAGGCAGCCGGAGATCATCCTGGGGAGGAGGGGGACATCCTTGACGTACACACCTACCCAAGGACGCTGACCCCAGCCAGCTCGCAATGCCATCACCTCCTTCTCCTCGGACCCCTCCACCCTTGCTCAACTGTGGGGCGCACAGGCCAGTTTTTAGACCTGGATGGGACATCACAGACCATCTAATCCAACCTCTGTTGTTACAGACAAGAAAGCTGAGGCTCAGAGAGGATGCCAACTACCGAGGGCCGCAGAGCTAGTGTGAGCTCTAGACTTTGGGACTAGAACCGAAGTCTTAGCGGTACTTGTAGTTTTAACAGTCCAGTGCTTCGGAAGGAATTGCCCCCATCTTTCTGAACTTCAATCGCAAATTTGCACTAGCTCCCAAAGACAGTGAAGACCTCCTCCCCCCATAGCCAGAGAATCACAGTGGGTAGAAGAAAACAGGAAACAAGGAGCCCCACTCCTCTCTAACTTCCACATCGCCCGTGCTGCTTTTTCTGCTCAAATCTTTCCCTGTCTTTTGCTCCAAGTTCTCAGGAGAATCCCAGGGTACTTCACCCCAAACCTGGTAACTCTTACACCCCAAATCCCAGAGCATGGTCACCCCTCCTGTGACGCTGGGCCCCCCCTTTCTAGAGCCACCCCCGGCTGCAGCCCGCCCCAAGCGCGCCGCCTGTTTATTCAGCCGGGAGTCCGGCACGCGCCAGGCGCACGCACTGCAACAACAAACCCTGCTGAATGGAGAGTTTGCAAGGAGCGGGCGCAGGGAACGGGCCGGGGAGGGGGGGCGGGGAGGGAGTTTAGGGAGTGGGCGGGAGGAGGAGGTAGGAGGAGGGGGAAGTGGGGGCTGCGGCCGCTCGCAGCAGCAGCGGGGAGTGGGGGGCGAGGCGGGGCCAGGGCTGCGCGTGGGGCTGGGTGTCCCATTGAAAAGGGAGCCGCACTCCGGCCGCCCAGCATTCTCACTTCTGGCCAGGGAACGTGGACGGCGCACCGACAGGGAGCCGGCCAGGGAGGGCGAGTGAAAGAAGGAAATAAGAAAGAAAGGAGGTTAACAAAATAATAAAAACTGCCTGCCCCACGGCTGGAGAGATCGAGACCCGGCGCAAGAGAGCGCAGCCCTAGGGGGAGAGGAACGGGAGACTCAGCAGAGCGCGCTCACCACTGACTTTTGCTTCTTCTGCTTTTTTTTTTTTCTTTTAAAACAAGAAGGCGCTAGCGGCAGCCTCACACGCGAGCGCCACGCGAGGCTCCCGAAGCCAACCCGCGGAGGGAGGAGGGGAGTCAGGAGGAGGAGTGGAGGGAGGAGGAAAAGCATTTGCACTTTCTTTGCTCCCATCCTCCGAAGTCTCCCGGGGATTCTGTACTATTTTAAACTCCCCTGCGGACTCCCTCTTCACCTCTCCCCGTCTGTCTTTCCCTGTTCGTGCGCCCTAGTCCTGCCCGCGTCTTCTGCACGCGCCCCGCACCTCGCGTCCCCGCTCGCTGCGATCCCGCGACTCCTTGGCAGCCGCTGCGCATGGAGAGCTCTGCCAAGATGGAGAGCAGCGGCGGCGCCGGCCAGCAGCCCCCGGCGCAGCCCCAGCAGCCCTTCCTGCCGCCCGCAGCCTGCTTCTTTGCCACGGCTGCGGCGGCGGCCGCGGCGGCCGCGGCGGCGGCGCAGAGCGCGCAGCAGCCGCAGCCCCCGCAGGCTCCGCAGCTGAGCCCGGCGGCCGATGGCCAGCCCTCAGGGGGCGGTCACAAGTCCGTGCCCAAGCAAGTCAAGCGACAGCGCTCGTCCTCGCCCGAACTGATGCGCTGCAAACGCCGGCTCAACTTCAGCGGCTTCGGCTACAGCCTGCCGCAGCAGCAGCCGGCCGCCGTGGCGCGCCGCAACGAGCGCGAGCGCAACCGCGTCAAGCTGGTCAACCTGGGCTTCGCCACCCTCCGGGAGCACGTCCCCAACGGCGCGGCCAACAAGAAGATGAGCAAGGTGGAGACGCTGCGCTCCGCGGTCGAGTACATCCGCGCGCTGCAGCAGCTGCTGGACGAGCACGACGCGGTGAGCGCCGCCTTCCAGGCGGGCGTCCTGTCGCCCACCATCTCCCCCAACTACTCCAACGACATGAACTCCATGGCCGGCTCGCCGGTCTCCTCCTACTCGTCGGACGAGGGATCTTACGACCCCCTCAGTCCCGAGGAGCAAGAGCTGCTCGACTTCACCAACTGGTTCTGAGGCGCTCGGCCTGCTCAGGCCACAGTGCGAATGGACTTTCGAAGCAGGTAGGTTGCATTTTGGAGGGAAGGGGGGTGAGAGGGGTCTCCTTGTCTTCATTCCATTTCCTTCGTCTTAGTATCTGTAGGAGGGGGACTGTCTCCACGGAGACGGGGGCGGGGGGCAGGGATTGATTGCAGGGACTTGCTCAAGTTAGTCGATTTCAAATCCTGATTTGTTACTTTCAGCATTGGCCTCTCAGAGTGGCTTTGCCCAGGTCTCCAAGAACCGGAGGGAGGGGCGAGGCGGAGAGGCGCTGGAGAACCGAGTAGTAGGACCTGTCAAAAGAGGAGCTCTACTTGTCAGATCGTCCCCTCCCTAAACCTCCATTCCCCCTGACGCTGGCCTCCAAGTTCACATTAACGTCTCCCGTTCTTCTCCTTCTGTTGCAGGGTGTTCGCACAACCTGCGTCTTTAGTGCTTTCTCGACAGTGATGCTGGAAGGGAGAAAAAAAGAAAGAAAGAAAAAAAAAAAGGCAACCAACTCCAGTACCAACCGAGCGACCCTGGCCTGCGAAGCAAGGCTCTCACAAAACAGGGATGCGTTCAGAACCGGATCTTTGCACTCCAATCATTCACGGAGATAAGAAGAGTGACTAGGACCTGAGTCCATGTGCAAAATGCTGCTTGTGTGCAAAACCATTGGGCTCCTGGCAGAAGAGAGCAGCACACATCCCATAGGAACTCCCGCCCAAACTAACAGGCCGAGCTGAAAGCGCTTGCTGGGTGTCTTCACCTCCCCGCCCTCTTTGAAAGCGCAGTTCTTAACCCTGTAGCAATGGGTTGGTGTCTTTCCTCTCAGTATCCCCCATCTCAATAAGCTGTGGACATTTGTCTGCAGTGAAACTATGCTGTCCTCAGTCCTTCGACACCCTGTCATCTGGCCCCTTCCCCACGCCCCACTCCCTCACACCGTCTTTTCTACCATTTTCATCATAGGATGCTTCCAATCTTTTGTGAATTTTTTTATTATAAAAAAATCTATTTGTATCTATCCTAACCAGTTTGGGGATATATTAAGATATTTTTGTACATAAGAGAGAAAGAAAAAATTTATAGAGTTTTGTACAAATGGTTTAAAATGTGTATATCTTGATACTTTAACATGTAATGATATTACCTCTTCATATTTTAGATGTGTAGTCCACCTTACAACTGCCATTTTCCCTATGTGGTTTTGTAAAGAGCTCTCCTCATAGGTGAGATCAAAAGGCCACCAGATGTACTTAAGCACCAATGTGTCTTACTTTATAGAAACTTTGTTAATGTATTAATGATGTTATTAAATGCTGTTCCAGAACAAAGTTTATGCAGCTACTGTCCAAACGCAAAGTGGCAGCCCGTGATTTTGATAGGTTGCCTTTGGGGAAATTTCTATCACTGCCTTTTTTTCTTACTGTTTTATTACAAACTTACAAAAAAAATGTATAACCCTGTTTTATACAAACTAGTTTCGTAATAAAACATGTTTCTTTTCTTTTTCTTTTTTTTTTTTACAAGTGAAAAAGTCTTCTTTGACTCCTTTGCCCTGTCCAAGCTATGGAAATGCCCGAGGGGAGGGGGGTGAGGGAGGAGAGGGTGGTGCAAAGCTTGCTCACTGGCAGAAATGACAAAGATGAGAGGTGGGACCCGTCCTACCTGGGGTGGCTCTATGAGGGATGTTTTCTTCCCCGTTTATGCTGCAGATACACTCATACACCAAGAGAATAGGTGGTGATTGAAGGCTGCATTGTCTTAGGGCTTAACAATTCAAAAAGTACCCCCAAAAGTGAACTGGCAAAAAGAGGGTCGTCGCTCCACAGTCTAACCCTTCCCAGCATTTCTGAGTCGCTCGCTGTGGGACTGCAGAAGGGCTGGATGGAATAATGGACCCCCGGGCGCGAGGAAGGGTGGTGGTACAGGGCTGGGCAGGGCCGGCCCGCGGAAGCAGCCCTCTCCGCGCTCCCGGCGCTGGGTGTGTTCTGCCTTCACTGCCAGGCACGCATTTTCCCCTTCTTCGCCCCAGGATGCACACTTTCCATATTGGTTTTAAGTAAAGGGCACGTATGATATGAATTCCTTGCGGAAGGAATTAGATCGAAAGAAAGAAAAGCCTTAGAAATGTGTGGTCGCTTCAGAGACACTGGCCCATCTAAGCTGGTGACTCTATCCCAATAGCGTGAGCTGCGTGTAAAAGTACCCAATTACCAAGATTCAAAAAGAAATTGGTGGGGTTTTTGGCTGGCTTGCTTCTTGTCAGTTAGCAAGGACGTGATCAGAATGCCACTCCGCCTCTCGCCGGCGCCTCGCTCGCCTCCTGCGTTACTTGCACATTCAGTTTGCGTGTCTCCAGCCAAGCGGAAAGCCGAGCGCAAAATGCGTCTTACAAAACCCAACAAAGAACGGGGAGCCAGCACGTCTTCCAGAGTTAAAAATCTAGTCTGTGTTGGTACATCTATACCATTTAGAGGCACAGAATAATCATTTTTTAAAGCTGCGATGCGCGGAGCACGCCGCAGCGTCTGATGTCATTTTGCTAAATGACCCTCTATAGAATGCACATTGAGGCTTCAGTCCCTTTCAAAGAGATGAGCGTAATTAAGGGGAAAAAAATCAGTAAATTCCTCATCGCCATAAATAATCGGACTTTCTGCCAGCAGTGGGCCAATTTAGAGCTTACTTGAGGGAAGTAATGCTTTTGTGATGCCGGCTTTCATTTTTATCTTCTCATTGAAAGGACCAGAGCTGGGCCCCCCCCCCACCCCCACTCATTTCTTTTTATTTTAATTTAGCTCCTTTGCAAGTTTTCAGATAAGGTAGGTAAAGAAAGTGTAGCAAGTCATTTATTGCTATGAATATAACATTAGGATAATGTTTCAGCCCCCACAAAGGGGATTTTGCCCCCCTTCCCCTTGTGAAGACAGGTGTTCTTTTACTCACTTCTGAATGGGAAATATCCAGTCTCGTTAAACTCGAGGCAAAGTTAGCCGTTGTTTGCCACAATGCGAAGGCAAACTCGAAAAATTCACAAAAACACACACAATTTTGCCGAAGCTAGGAAAGGGCAAAGCGGGGATTGGGCAAAATCTCATTACATCTGCTCTAATCGCTTAGCAACACAAAGCCGGGGCTTGTGCGGCAAAGGGAAGCCATTCACAGCGCTGTGACAGGCCGCATTCAGCCAGCATTAGTCAGCTCCATAAATCACCGCTGCCCATTGGCTGCGCGGCGGGCTTTGGAGCGGCCCTGGGCTGTCAGCGAAATACAAAATGTAGACCCCAGCGGCCAGCAATCATGGCCTCTCCCCGGTCGTAGCCCCCACCCCACTTTCTTCGGGGTGGGGGGGGGGCATGCTGGGGAAGAAAACTGCCCTGACTTTATTGACTGAGAAATCTTACCTATTCAACAAATGACCCGAAGACCACCGAGTTAAGGCTGGAGACACGCATGAAATTGACGAGGAGGAGCGGGGCGTGCAGGAGAGAAAGAATAAACAGACCGCAGACCCGCTGAATGCGAGTATTATCAGAGGCTGGACAGGAGCTGCTGGAACACACGTTTCATCTCCCTGACATAACCTTACAGCCTTTATATACATATATATGTATATATATATTTTTTAATTGGAAGTAAGAGGGTGTGTATGGAGAAGAATCTCTCTCCAGTTCACGTCAGGTGGGCCCACCAAGACAGAGAGGAGAAACCAGGCTGCTCTCTGTACTGGGCATCAAAAGAATAGGACTGAGACGTAGTAAGAAAGAGGGAGTCCAACATGCTTTTCTGCTTTTCTGCTTTTCTGTTCGTTCAGGGCTGTGGATGTTAGGACACAGAATCAAGGGCCCAGTTCCTCCCCCGTATCCTTGTTTGTAACATGGGTTTGATGGTACCCACAGCAGCAAGTGACAATGTAAAGGAGTTAGCACATGGCCTTGTGGGGGAGGTGACAACTCTATGTAAATGTGAGTGCCTGTTGTTATTCTCATCTCCCAGTCCTGTCTGTCATTTTCCTGGGGACTGGAGAGCTGATGCCTCTAAATCACAGGCTAGCTGTGAGGTTTACCCACAAACCACATAGCAGTTTGGGAGTAGACGTGGAGTCAACTTAGGCTTTCCTGGGAAGCCACCTCCTCCGAGAGGCTTTACTTGTCTGCTCCGGCTAAAGCAGAGCTCCATGTAGGCTGCAGTCACTCTCCACCCATTATGCTGTTTCTCCTTGGTATTTACCACTATGTGGGAAAAAACCCTGCAGTTGCTGTCAATAGCCCGCTACTAGACGGTGAACTACATGAGGACCGGGACCTCACCTGTCTTATTCACTGGTATCTCCTTAGCCCTTGGGGAGATAGGTATTTGTTAACTGAAGAGGGGTCTGCTCTGTTGCATTGACAGCTGTTTTCCCTATTCTTCCTTTCCTGCTCCAGATCCACTTTCTGCCTCTCTGCTCTGCTCTGCTGTGTCTCCCAAGGCTGATTCTTTGTACTTCATCACCAGGGCTCCCTTGCCCTCTGGCTTCCTGTAGGGTTTGGCCACAGGGAAGCACCGCTAGGAGACTGTGAGGTAGGAGGGGAAGTAGGTGGGAGCTTTATACCCCTGCTCCTCACCGCTTGGGCTCAGTTGCTTTGGCATTGGTTCTGCTCCTTAGTCTAAGGCCGCCACTTGGTCAGGAGGCCTCTCTCCCATGCCACCAGCTCTTGTTGCTGCAGCTGTTATGGCGGCAGTAACAGCTTCCTCTCCTTGTTCCTTCAGTTTCAAAGGTGGTAAGGGCCCTGTCTTGCTAGTAGTCTTAGGGTGCTGCATCATTCTGATTCCCTTAGCCCAATGCACGTCTCTGTCTCTCTATTAAGCTCTTTTCATTGACCCTTTAAAGTGTGTCATCTGCTCCTGCTGACTCTGGTGGGCGCCTGGGCTATTCTCCCACTGGTTCTTGGGGATGTGTTAGCTTTGGGAGAGATTTCCAGGGGCTTGTGGCTGTCAGAAAGAAACTTCCCAGGGCAGAGACAAACCAAGCTCTGTTTAAAACCTAACTCTGGAAAATCACTTGCATCTTTTGAGCAGGGAATGACTTACCTGAAAGTTTGCACACAAAGTCAGTTATGGTTTTCTCTTTTGGAAAATGCAGTTATCTCGGCTATCTTCCCTTTTATAGGTCAACTGGGAAGTTGAAAAAGGAAAGCGCTTTAGAGCTGTCAATGGCTATATCAGTGCAAGAGATAATTGCTTCTCACCATCTTCCACAACCAGAAAGGAGCTGGTGCTGGGGACTTGCCACCAAGATAAACAAAGACCGTCCTCCTGTTGAGGGGCCATCCCTGCCTCCATTCATTCACTCACTCGGCCATTCACGCACTCATTTAAAAAGGGAGGGAATACGATGAAATTTAGCCAACATTTCCAGGACCTAATCGTCCTAATTTGTATCTTCTAGAGGGAGCTCCGAGAAGCTTGTATTATTGCAATCTCTTTTAAAAACACTACGGATGCTTCTCTGATGTACTAATGTCCTCATCCCTGTTTCCCTTATGCTTCTGTTGAGAAGTCTGAACTTCTTTTTCTCCCTCTCTTCACTCCTGGGCCAAGACATGATTCGTTTTCGGATTTCCCCAGAAACTCCAGGTTGTCCGGAGTCAAAGGTAGCGAGGGAAGTGCATTTGTCGACACTAATATTCTCTTGCCCCTGCCAAGGCAAAGGGCCGGGTTCTAGCGCGGGTCCAAGTTA